TATCGCATGGTCAAGTCTTCCGCTGTGTTTATCTCTCCCTGTGCGGTGTGATACTCCTATCCTCTCCCCTTCCTTCTGTGTGTGTATGGGCATGTACAGAAGTCTATGTGAGTGAGTGTTGGCCATCAGGCAGCGAACAACCAGATACATTCCCCGAAGCACTGGTGCGCTATGTCGCTGGATTCGACATGCTTAGTGTTTTTTTTTCTTTTCTTTTCCCTAGGCTGCCAGTTGTCCAATGTGCAAGGAAAATGATCAATAGCGAAATGACAGATTTCAGATTGCAAAATCACATTGAAAGCCAGGAGGTCTGACACTGTGCAGAAAGCAGAATTGCACTGATATTACACCAGTGAAGCAGAATTGCACTGATATTACACCAGTGGAGAACCAAAACACTGAATTTCGGTGTCAATGAGAGCATACTCTCGCCATCACCAACATAAGTATCCAGAGCCCTTCTCCTACTAGGAGCTCAGTGCCCAGACTACTATCATGCAGCTACTACCAGCCTACGAATTGACAATGCAAGTGTCGATGTCAGCAGCAGAACCGAAGTACATGAAGATGTCGACCCTTGTCGACTATCGCCAAGACCAGGTACGTGCCCTCACGTCATCATCCTCATCTCTCTCTCTCTCTCTCTCTCTCTCTCTCTCTCTCTCTCTCTCTCTCTNCTCTCTCTCTCTCTCTCTCTCTCTCTCTCTCTCTCTCTCTCTCTCTCTCTCTCTCTCTCTCTCTCTCTCTCTCTCTCTCGTGCACGCGCGCGCGCCTTCTCTACCCATGTCTCCTCCCCATACACGAAGACCACCACCACCTGCTGACCATCCAAGCCCGAAGCCCGGCTATGAAGGGCTGGGCTATGGCACTGCCCTCAGCAGCGCCTTGCACCTCAAGACGCCCACGTGCGCTTGCACGCTTGCACTAGCGCAGCTAGCAGCCTACGAGCAGATGCTCCAGCAGCGATGCACCCGCAAATGCAAGTGCCCGAATGCTGAGCCTGGCGCCCGTCCCTTTCCTATATGGAAAGTGGCGGGCGCTTTGCCTTGCCCCGTCACATGAGACCAAGTTTCCAGTAGCTTCAGTCTCAGCCAAAGTGTCTGCGCCCAGGCCTGTTCAGACAGTGGCCTGGACCGAATTGGTTAGGCATGCCCAACCACCCAGGCACAAACATGCGATGTCCGCTGCTTTTGCCACGTTGAAAAAAAAAAAAAAGAAGAAAAAAAAAAAGAGAACAGCCTGGAAGGCTCACAAATCTTTCCCATTCTCACGTGCAGGGCGGATGCAGCCAACTGGTGCCTGGCAACTGTCTGTTGCAGAAATTGACCAATTCAGGGCCCCGCCTTCACTTTGGGCGGGCGCATGCCTGATGCAGGGCCTTGTGCGGTTATGCCGACTGCAAGGATAAGGCTCCTCGGGAGGCCTAAGGGGGCCCATCATGCAAGTGTGCCCGCCCTAAGTGAAGGCAAGGCGCGCCTAACAAATCACGAGAGGCCCTATGCTGTCAATTTCCTATTTGGGGTTTCGGGCAGTTGTGTCGCGTCAGTTGGTTGAGGGAACCCAGGACCCGAGCAGCAAAGATTTTTCCACGGTCTTCTAGGCCTTTTCTGAAGTGCAGGCCCTGGTCCACATTCGCAGCAGTATACACAGACAGTTGGGAGGATTAACTGAACAAGTCTCAGCAGCATCAGCAGAGGCCCAGCAACCTGGGGCCTACCGGGAGCTTCTGGGCGCAGGCCCAGCCCAGCCAGGTCGAAGGCCAGGCAGACTCTTTCCATATGGGAAAGAGCTCGCTGCCTGGAGAGTCATTCAAGCACTTGCCAGTTTGCGGCAGCGCTGCTGGAGCGGACGCTTGCGTGCTGCTGCTAGCGCTAGGGGCAAGGTGCTGTGCACGTGCGGTCGTGTGGGAAGAAGGGCGCAGCTGAGAGCAGTGCCATAGCCCAGCTTCCATAGCTGGCTGGGCTTGGATAACAGCAAGGCGCAGTGGTGGTCTTCGGGTGTACAGAGGGAAGACGAGGGAGAAAGACGAGGGACAGAGAGAGAGATAGAGATGAGAATGATGATGTGAGGGCTCATACCTGGTATTGGCGATGGTCTGCATTGGGCGACATCTTCATGTACTTCGGTGGCTGCTGACGTCAACAGTTGCATTGTCAATTCATAGGCAGATAATAGCTGTGTTGGGGAGTAGTCTGGGCGCCGAGCGCCAAGTAGAGGGAAGGGCCTGGACTCTGATGTTGGTGATGACGAGAGCAAGCTCTCATTGACATTCGGCTTCAGTGTTTGGATTCTCCATTGGTGTAACATTGGTGTAATACTGCTTTCTGGACACTGAGAGACTTTCTGGCTTGCAATGTGATCGTGTAATCTGAATTCTGTCATCTCGCTATTGCTCGTTTTCCTTGCACGACGGATCAAACCCTCGCAAATGGCTGGACGTCCTGGCTGGAGAGTGAGGGGTTCCCGGACGTTCGGGCTCCGACAACTCCATTTTCAACAGTTTAAAGCATGAAAAAAAAAAAAAAAACATTGGGGGTGTCTTTGATTTTATTTTTTATGTTAAATTTGATAAAGAATTTCAATGTGACCTCCGGACAAAAGTTATTCAGTTTTAAAAAACTATGCTATTGCTCATTTACCTTTCCAGACTGCCCCCGGAGGACGTCCGACCGGACAACCCCGGACAGTCAGGAGGGTCCCGGACGTCCGGCCCAGTGACATAGTTTTTTTTAAACACGTTTTTCCCTCAGCGCAACATAGTTTTTTTCCCTCAGCGTGGGGCCACTGAGTCCTAATCTTCTCACGTTTTTCCCTCAGCGCAACATAGTTTTTTTCCCTCAGCGTGGGGCCACTGAGTCCTAA